TAGTTACTGAGGAACGTATACTATTTCAACAACAAGTTGAAGTTTAATTATCATAAATGAGTATGTGTGTCTTTGTATAGGTAAAAATGATTTAGGAGTCACCCCCCCATTGAAAAGTAGCAAAAAATATAGTCAAGAAAAACATCATTTGTTTCTTAAAAAAAAGAAAGGTAAGTATCAACGCACTGTGTCCAAGTGTCAATACTTGAAAAAAAGTAAACCGCCAAAATATACGAAAAATTATGAATATCAATTTCATACAATTCAGAAAAATGGATAATTCGCAAAATGATTTACTCCAGATAACTCTAGTCAGTAGATTATTGCCATCAGAATGAAAACAAATGATCAAAAGTTCAAGTACAGTCAAAAATTCAAAAAGTAAATACATTTGGGGAAGGCAAAAATAATTTTGAAAGTAAATTTCCTACATACTAAACATCATGAGAGCTATATCAGTACACCAGAGATCCAACAATTAGGCTATATATGCATACATGAAAAGTCTCAAGAAATCAAAAAACTGCACATGAAGAAATACTTTCAAATACTAAGAGGTTAGTGATCAAAAATGAAAAGCATATAAGAATATGTAAACTATCAACAACAATAGTCACAACCTCAATCAAAAGTTTGATGATATTCGACAAAAATGCTGGGAAACCTAAAGACCAGACTATCAATATTCAACAACAAAAAATTATCAAAATATCATCAATCTCAAAAGTACAATGAGAAAAAGGTTATAACTGTCCCCAGCAGTAAATAAAAACTATAGTAGTATGTGAGAAAAAAATTCTGGCAATGATCTCGCTGACTACTAAACAAGACAATTTAAAAGTTAATAGTATGCCTATGAAATAAACAGGTGGAAAAATTTTAATCTTTTGATAAAATTTTAAACATTAAGCAAAAAGTAAGGATGATTAAGGAATTAAATATTTGAGTACCAAAAGCAATTAAAAATAGAAATGCTGCCAAAGATTGTAAAGAATTTTGAAAACTATGTTCTGTCTGCCAATCTTCCACTAGCAAACCACTTGTCGACAAAGCCAAACACCTATCGAAGCCTCACGTTGCGGGTGCCAATTTATGTAACGCTTCCTTTCCGCAAAAAGTCCAGAAAAGATGGAATGCAATAAAGATTCCAACTTTTCTGTACAATCACAGAAAGGGGGTTAGCATTAGCTTCCGGTAGCTCAGTCGGTGGCATGAAGACATCTACAGGCGTGTAGCTGTGTGTCGACCATGGCATGGCTAGAGGATAGAAGAACAAACAGAACACAAAAATTTAACAGATTTTATTTAACAAAAAAAAAGGCATTTTCATTACATTACAATTTTACAGTTTAAAAGAACAAAATAAGTTTTACATCTTTGGCGCTGCTATAACGCTATCAACTTATCTTTCGCTGGTCCATTTTGACTCGACTGACCAGGTGCTTGAAGTGGAGGTCCCAGTTGTGAGGGGTGACCTCACATATAGTGGCTTCATAACCAGTTGTAGGCGAAGTTAAAGGCGATGGCGCTGCCAAGGCACATGCATGGGTGAAAATATTGGCCAAGCAAGGCAAAGTCAAAGACTAAGGCAAAGGCAAAGGGAAAGAGAAAGGGAAAGAGAAAGGGAAAAAGAAAGGGAAAGAGAAAGGGAAAGAGAAAGAGAAAGGGAAAGAGAAAGAGAAAGGGAAAGAGAAAGAGAAAGGGAAAGGGAAAGAGAAAGGGAAAGGGGGTGGCCCCAATCATTTTGTCCTATACGGACACACATTCTACAAAATTCTAGCACATGGTACTATATGACCTTGTGCTACAGAGAAGAAAATTTTTAGCTTTTGTTCGATCGGCGGCTCAAGTGAAAAGGAAGCGCGAGGAAGATCGCAGATCAGGAACTCCGCATCAAGCGCTCCAAGCGGAAAATTTTCCAAGTAGAAAAGCTAGAGATGGGATTAATGAAATGATAATCGAGAAGTGATTTAATAAATACGATCGGACGGTGAAACCGTTACACGCTGTTACAAAAATTAAAATGGCTGCTTACTAGTACTTCACAAAGCAATATTTAAGTTCATCAGGAAGGACATATCGATGAGCATATAGAACTTTCAGAGAAACACAATCTTTTTGTATACAATTATTAATATGAGGCTGGAATCTTAGATTTGAGTCAAATTCTACTCACAGTGTCTGAACAAGGTATAGATTCACTTCTTATTTTGACATGAAAAGTGGGCTCAATATTGTCTTACAATCTGCCAAATAACATAAGTTGTGATTTACTTGCATTAATGTGCAGACCATGATTCTCCGAAAACACAACTAATCTTTCAATATCAATAGGAAAGGTTTGAGGTATAAATACTAAAGATCAGAGGACCTAAAATGGAGCCTTGTGGAATACCCGATGTGATGACGTCTGCGGAGGAAATACCTTTATCTGTTTCTATGTATTGTGTTCAGTTAGTTAAATAGTTGCACATAAGCGTGCTAGCAGACTCAGAAAACCCTATATAGTGTAAAATACCAATCAAAATTTCATGATTTAGTTTATCAAATGCCTTGGAGTAGTCCAAGAGCACGAGACCGGTGGTTTTTCTAGAATATGTTGCTTTGAAAATGTGGTCAGTTATATCTTACAGTGCAGTTTCGCAACTGAAATCTTTCCTAAATCCTGACTGATAGTCTGGTAACAAATTGTTCGCAGTTAAATAATATCTTATTTGTTGGTCCAATTTAATCTCAATAAGTTTTGATAGCACTGGTAAAATACTTATAGGGCGCAGATCATGGTAGTCACTAATTTAAGACTTCTCTGGTACTGGTATAATTTTTGCAATTTTCCATGATTCTGGGAAGTCTCTATCTAAAATGCAGGAATTTATTATATTAGTAATGTAAAGGACGAATTTATGGGAATAGTACAATAAGATCATTTCAAGATTTATACCATCAGCATCCATGGCAAGCGATTTAATTCCGTAAAGAGCATTTTTAACGATATCCTCTGAAACTGTGTGAAATTCAAAAAAAGTTTTGATGTTAGTACTAGTATTGCTATAATAGTAATCCAAAGTGTCATAGTATATAGATGAGCTTGCTCGAGAGATCTGAAGAGAATGGTTATTTATGCCATCCGGTTTATTCAGCTGATCGGGAATACAACCTGTTTTTTTGTTATTAATATTTAAATTTAATAACTTTTTCTAAAGTACTTCAGTTTTATTGATATTTTTATCGGCACATTATTTAAAATTACCTTTTCTTTCATTATATATGGAAATATTCGTTTGATTTTTCATTTGTTTATGATTTACCCATTTGGCAGCAGTTTTGTTCTGCTTAAATGTCCGGAATTTTTCAGTTCTTTGCTTAATCATGCATTTAGTAGAAAACGTTAACCATGGGGGTTTTCGAACTTTAATTTAAATTTCCTTTACAGGAGCTAGTACATCGAAGATATTCAACAGAGCTTTATTCAAACACAAAACCTTTTCCTCAACTTTTAGTAAATAGATTAATCGTCAAGAGGAGAAATTTCCAACAACTCATTGAGCAAGTCTTTATCTAGATTTCCTAAGTTTCTGAAGCGCTATTTCTCAGAACAATTTGCAAAACATTTATTTAGTATACAAAAAGTTAATGAATGATTAGGAATATGTGACGTATTTTTTGTACCAACAATAAAATCAATTTCATCAGCAGGTATAAAAATTACATCCAGCAAGGTTGCAAAGAGGGGTTTTTCGATTACCTGTACCAGATCAAAACAATTCAATACATTCATAAAGCATTGTGCTATAACGATTTGAAGAGTCAAGAACATCAACATTGAAATCACCGCCACAAATTATCTTCATATCTATGAATTGTGCTAGTGTCTCCTCGAAGTGTTCATTGAAATCGATGATATTATTTACAGATGGTCTGTAAATACATCCAACAGTATAGCTTGTTTGATGCAATTTCAATGAGATCCAAATCTCCTCAGAAATTAAAGTTAAATAGGAAGAGACAACTGAAAACCTCAAAGTATTATTAATATCCAGACCAATCCCTCCTTCTCTACCATTTCTACATTGATGAATAAAACAGTAATTTTCTATGGATACTAAATTGCTTGCTATACCTGAATGAAGCCAAATTTCCGAAATCCCAACGATGTCAAATTGATGTTGTTGTATAAGATTTTGAAGATCTCAGAATGTTTTTCAACTTGGTTTCTTGACTCTCGGTAAATACCATGTTTTTGTGTATACCTACTGATTTTGTCAATCAAATAATACAATCAAATTGCACTTGTAGAACAGTTAGCACAATTTACAAACACACTAACTGTTCTGTATGCAAATCACACAACACACTGAGTAAAAATTAGCTGGAACAATAACGTTTGATCGGACTAAAACTGTGAAAATAACTGGAACTGCTAAGTCACACGTCTTCACTCGCTAAAGGTAGATTCCCTCTACATCTTCGTTTCCTCAGGTTACACTCGTCAGATGTATGGGCATGTATGACTGCTTTTGTAGTTGCATATGTGCATTCATTGCGGGCCTGATGGAGCCAACAAGCAGAAATACCAGTTGCTCGGTTTATCTATCCTATTTTCTGCACGAATCCACTTTTATTCTTGTTGCAGATTTCGCCCATAACTTTTTTCTTTTGTTATATTTGCTTTATACCTTTCTCCTTATGATCCTCTCCTTTTGTGAAACCGACGTTACTTATTTTTTATAAAGAGTAACTTCTCTTGTATTAACAAAATGGCGAATGTACACAGACACCTTAAAGTACGCGTACTCCTTCACCATTTTTTGCAATTAAGTTTCTTGAAAATTATATTGAATCTTAACACAAGTACAAAGTTTTCTAGTAAAATCAAAGGGAAGGTAAATCAACAACATAAAGTTTCATTTTTTAATTATTGTTGAATGATGAAACGCGTTACATATGCACCGTGAAGCTTTGTACAACCAATTGTACTATCAGATCACATTTTATTTCAGGCAATATGATGACCTTGATGTACATGTTCGGACTCGCTGCAGGTTCCTTAGTAGCTTACTTCCTCGAAAAGCTGCTTAGTCCGGTAGAAAAACACCCTTGCAGCTACATGATTCTTCCTCAAGAAGTGACGCCAACCATCGTATCGCTCACAACAACCAGTAAAATGCTAGCGAGTACAGAAGGGCTAAATACTACCCTGGATAGCTTGACTACCACTACTTCGATGCCGTCTACCATCATCAGCACTCTCATGTCTACGTATATTTCAACTGTCAACTCCACGGATTTTTAAATAGGTAGTTCGTGTACGGATAGTTCCAACGACTTTATTTTGTCTTGAATCAGCAAATGGGATAGAATGGTTAAATAAAATTCAACAAGCAAAGCTTGACTAAATAAAATGTACCACATCAAGTAGGTAGTTGAAGTGACAGATGAAAAAGATAGAAGCGAGCTCATTGAGGTGAAAGAGTTTTGATTAATTTCTATTACAAACGCTTTCCCAGTTAAATTACCTACGTTATTCATGTTATTCTCGACAAGATTCGCAGTTCTGTGGCATTCTCCGTATAACTAGATTTTGCTCAGTCTCATTCATCAGTTATACATATGGAAAATCTAAAGAACTCACCCCTACGTTAAAGATAATGTAAAACAAATATAGGCTCAAAATGTGGCAATATTATTTTTTTAAGCCCTGTACCATAGTGGTGCCACGATGATATCATTGGGAATCCTGACTCATGAGGGGAAAGTGAAGCTAAACATATGAAACAAAACTGTTTTCCAAAAAACGGTCCATTTTATTGATATCAAAGGAGAGTTTTTCTATCTATTTAGCTGGAAGGGTTTCTAGAAAGGTTATCTTTAAGCCATTTTATGAGATATCATCCATTACCTAGGCTTCTGAATGATTAGATACTACTTAGTTGATTTCAATTTCGAGAGGCGGCAGTGGGCCTATATTTCCGTAGGGTGATTTGCTTATGACATTCCTTTATAGAAAATTGCCACTTCATTTTTTATGTTTACACAGATAATTGCACTAGCCTCAGAGTTAAACAAGTTTGATAAAGAACGACCATAATCAAAAGCTAAATCGTGTAAAAACCTGGTAATTGTGGATCAGCCAAGAACTTTGAATAACAAACATTAGTTTCTGTTTCAACAGAGAAAGTATCTGCCACCACCAAGGAATTCGAATAAGTTGGAAGGAGCCAAGAATATATGTTTACATTGCATTGTTTGTCGCCAAAATTGCGTAGTTTTAGTGCATATTTTGACTAATTTGTCTACCAATGCCTACCAAAGAAACAGAGTTGTACCAACATAGTGATAATACTTACCGGTAGAAACATCTTCCTCCATTAGGCTTGTGCCGCTCTTTGCAAATTATGTAAGAAGTACCATATCTTGAAATCGTCTAACACCACGATTATCTGCTAGCACGCGCACATTTAAAAAATAACCCTAAAGGTACAAATTTAATAACATAGCTGTAAAAAAAACTGACTTATGTCAAATGTACCATAATCCTCACAACAGACTGTTAGAATTGGGAGACAAATAAATCCTTGACTAGCTCCTTCTATATACTCTGAATTCATTGGTCACTATAGATATTGGTTTCAATCTGATAAATTTTATGAATATTTCTTGAATCCCGTATAATGTACTTCAAATAAAATTATTTAGACTTGAAACGGAATACCAGGGAACAGCAACCATAAACATCATATTTTTTTAATCAAATTTCTCTACTCAACTGCTATAGAAAAGGAAAGTATGAGTAGGAGCTTTAATTATGTTGCAAACAACTTCAAATGTATATTTTTGTTATGTGTATTACATATTCCATGTTTTTGCGACGAATCAAAAGTTTTATTTGTCACGGTTACTCACGCTGTCGTACCGCTTTTTCAGCAAATATGTATGGTAAAGTAGCTATTTTAAATATGTAAAATTAAATAATAGGCAAATGGATGTTACGTTTTTGTAAGCATCTAAACATATCAATGTATAATGTATAATGTATATTCCGTGATAGATCTCACTTTTGAGTCGTTTATATTATAAAATAAAAATTATACCTCAACACAATACATATTTCATTAACCCAATGAAGTATACGGAGTGTTCCTTGATAATGTTCTAATTTTCAGAGGCGTCATTCTTCAAGTTATTTCAACTAAAACATTTGGCATTTTCGTGTATCTCCAACTTTTTAATTTGATGTCTGTATAAAACTTAATTACCGATTTGCAACTAAGGTAAGCTGAGAAATTTTGTAAAATGAATTTAAAAAAAAATGTTTCCGCCCGGGATCGAACCGGGGACCTTCCGCGTGTTAGGCGGATGTGATAACCACTACACCACGGAAACGCTTGCCGACTTTTTTAAAAAATGAGTTATTTATTCACAATCTGAATTAGGAAGATATAGCTCAGTACTGATATGCCATATAGCCTAGTCATATTACGGGTTTCATCTCGGAATGAAAGATAATAAGCTGTAAACTCATAGAAACCTTTATTTTGATATTATAAAAGTGGTCTCAAAAATTTCAGAAAATCTCGTGTTCCGGTCTTAAGATGTCAAAGGTCACAAAGCTCGTTTTCTTGCAAATATCACGCTTACTATGGGTTCAAGGCTATTTGCATTTATATGAATATTGTAGAGAATAAAATTCTCTACAACTTTTGTTCCAAACATTGTTTCATTCAATTAACCGTTTTTGAGATAGAGGGCGGAGAGCACGCAGCGTTTAGCTATTTACAGCATAATGCAAGGTCAACAATAGTCTCGATAAGTAATAATGCTGTATTGAGTTTATATATCATTGAAAATTAGAATCCCAGGAGTGGAGTTGGATACTGCGAAATGAATTCCTGGGAGTGACTCTGACAAAATTACCACCAGCTCTATAAATGTATTGCTGAATATAATATTTTGCAACTGCAAAAATAGTTGTGGTTCACGCTGAGGATGCAAGAAATCGGGGTTGCAATGTTCTTTAGCTTGTGGTCAGTGTAAAGGGCAAGCCTGCCTCAATGCTTCACTGTATCAAAGCGATCTCAATGAAGATAACACTTTTACCCCGAAATACTGCAGATCTAGAGACTACCCTTGACGAAAATGATGATGCAGGAGAAGAAAATCTAAACTCATGTCTTCTACTCCTATTGCCCCAAGCTCCCAAGCTGAGACAATGGAGTTATTTAGACGTTCCCACAATATCATTCTGAGGGGCATAGCTGAAGGGTACGATGACATAAACATAGTATCAGAGATAATTAGGCATATTGAACCATCTGCCGAAAATCACCGACTCAGCATCACTCGCCTTGGCAGAACAACTTCAAGCAATCGTTTAATTAGAGTTGTGTTTTCCTCACCTATTATCGTCAGCAATATTTTGCGGAAGAAAAACTCCATCGTTAGCCACCCCACGCTTCGTCACGTAAAAATCTCTGACGACAAAACCAGAGGTCAAATGCAAGAACTACAACACCTTCGTGAAGAGCTTAGACGTCGTCAAACAACAGGCGAAAGTAATATTACTATAAAATACGTTCGTGGTAAACCTTCTATAGTACACACAGCTACCCAGGAGATCACACCTTCAAAAAACTGATAAATTCTGTGGCAAACTGGACGGTTTGTTACACTAATATACAATCTCTCTTTTCTAAGCTACTTGAACTCCAAGCATTTGTTCGAGACAATAATCCAACGTTCGTTTGCCTTACTGAAACATGGCTCCATTCCAACGTGTCCGACTCTTCCATCAATTTGCCTGGATACTATTTATACAGAATGGGTTCACCACGCACTCCTGGTTTTGGTGGAGTATGCATTTATGTTCGCACGGAAATCGCGTCGGCTTTCTCGGTATCTCCCTCTTTCAGTCCTTTCGATGGCATTGACAATCTATTTTTGGAATTGAGGTGCCCAAATTTCAGCTTCACGATAGGCTGCATATATCGGCCACGGCCCTGTTTGGGAGACACACACCTGTGCAGTCTCATTTCATATCTCTTAAATAAAAACACCAACCTTTTCATAGCTGGTGACTTCAATCTACGTGACATTAGCTGGCCTATGTCAACCATTCCTGAATGCAATTCTTCTTCTGCTGCTTACATCGACTTGCTACGCAACTCTAGCATATCTCAACTTGTTGATCGTCCAACGAGATTCAGGGAAGGACAGACGCCGAGGGCTCTGGATTTGATATTCGTTAACGACGCCGACTTTGTTTCTAATTTAGATTATTTGCCACCTGTTCACTTTTATCTTCTCTCCAGTTCAATATAAATAGTCGTTCTACAACCGATAAGTTTAAAACCATCAAAATTGTAAACCACGATGCTCTTAACCAAGCCCTGTCTGAAGTCAACTGGCCTGCTTTGCTTAACAACCGTAGCACCCAAGATATGTGGGGGGACACTTTCGCTCAACGAGTCCTAAGCGAAACGGCTGACAATACTGTTGAAAAGAAGGTATACTGTGACCCCTCAAAGCCCTGGATCAACTCTAACATATCGAGGATGCTTCGTCACAAGAGATCTTTGTGGCAACGGTTTAGGAGGAGTGGCCATTCACAAGATTACGTGTCTCATCGATCCTTTTCTAACCTCCTATCTAGAACGTTACATAATGCCAAACATGCTTATGAACGAAAACTCGTTACCTCCAAAAATAAGAAGAAGCTGTTTCGGTATCTAAGAACAAACCTGAATTCCAAAGTTTCATCACCTCAGATCCGCGACGCTGACGGTCATCTCCACATGGATGCCACCGAATCTGCCAACTTACTGGCAGAGTCCTTTAGTGATGACTTCGTCGATGAGCCTAATGGAGACCTTCTACCGACCACTATCTGCCATAGGTGTCCCAACAGCCTTTGCGAAGTTGAGTTCCTGCCTGAAGATGTATTAATGCACCTGCGAAATCTGAAGACCTCTTCCTCCCCTGGTAAAGATGGGATGACGGCTGCTGTACTTAAAAACTGCGCTTCAGCACTGGCCCTACCATTAAGCTTGATATTCACATCGTCTTTTAGATCTCATACCCTACCCTCATGCTGGCTTAGTGCTTCTGTTACCCCTGTATTCAAAAAGGGCGACAAATCCTCCGCTAAAAATTATCGACCAATAAGTCTCGTTGCTATCGCCGCCAAAATAGCTGAAAGAATCATATTAGATAAGCTCCTGTCATTTGCTTTCGAAAATGACCTTATCCCTAAGAATCAGCATGGATTTCTCCCTGGTCGATCAATAATGACCAACCTTCTCCACTCTCTCAACGATTGGACTCAGTATCTGGACACAAAGACTCCTGTTGATATAATCTACTTATATTTTTCTAGGGCTTTCGATCGCGTACCACATAGAAGGCTTCTGTTTAAGTTGGAATGTATGGGAATAAGAGGCGAGTTGTTACTGTGGATTAAGGCTTTTCTCACCGGGAGGACTTTCTCTGTGCGCGTCAGTGATAGCCAGTCTCACCTTCATCATGTAGCAAGTGGAGTTCCTCAAGGCTCTGTCTTGGGGCCAGTACTGTTCCTTCTGTATACAAGTGACCTGCCCGCATTGATTTCCTCCACATGTTCAGCTTATGCCGACGACACCAAGATTTATAATACTGTCGTAAATTCTGCTATGCTTCAACGAGATCTTGATATTGTTTGTCAATGGTCAGCCAGTTGGCTTTTACCCTTAAATCTAACTAAGTGTTGTGTCCTTCACCTCGGGAAGACAAATCCGCGATTTACATACAAGATCTCTGACCACAACATCGAAGCAGTTTCCAGCCACACTGATCTGGGCGTTGTAGTCAATGATCGTCTTTCCTGGTCAGAGCATATTCACCACGTTACATCAAAAGCCAAGAAACTTCTATACATGCTGGAGAGGTCTTTCAAAGGATCCGATGTCAACACTTGCGCCTACATTTACATGGCATTCGTGAGGCCAATTCTTGAATTCGCTGGCCCGGTATGGGACACTGTGCTTCTGCGCGATAGAAATCTCGTCGAATCAGTACAGCGTCGGGCTACTCGGATCCCTTTTGGAGCACGAAGACCAAGCTATGAAGATCGCCTTGGATTATTCAACCTGACCTCATTCTCTGAGCGAAGACTTCGTGGCGATCTTATAGTTACGTTCAGGATACTTCATGGTTTGATGGGCACCAACCTCATGCATCTATACCGTCTGTCGCGCAGCAATCTACGCGGACACAGCTTCAAACTGCATAAGGAGCCATTTAAAACAACAGTCCGACAGTGGTTTCTTCCCAACCGCATATTCAACACCTGGAATAGTTTACCTGAAAGTGTGGTTGGTGCTACTTCAGTTAATAGCTTCAAAGTGCAGTATGATAGCTGGAGGAGTGTACAAACTTTATAGCTATGAACTGTCTTTTTTATTTTTTTCTATTTGATGTATTTGTGTTACGTGTCCGTACACTATATTTACTGCATGAGCTTATAGTACTGTGTACTCTGCTCATCTCAATTATCATAATAATAATAATAAAAAAACGCTAATTATGTTCAACTATAGGTATATTTCTTTAATACTTATAGACTTATTTACCCGGTCTAACGGTTGACCTTGCACCATGCTGTAAACAACTAAGCCCATGCGTGCTTGTCGTCTTCTATCTCAAAAATGGTAAATTGTAAGAAAAAATATTTGAAACAAACATTGTAGATAATTTTATTCTTTACAATATTATTAATATCATTAAACCCATAGGAAGCGATATATTTGCAAAAAAACAAACGGTTTTTGTGACCTTTGGTATCTTGAGATGCGGACACGACATTATATGAGACTTTTGAGGCGACATTTAGAAAGGTAAAATAAAAGTGTCAACAAGTGTAACGTATAGCTTATTATTTCTCATACCGAGATTGAAGGTGAATCTAAGCATGTTGAATCTATTGACATTTTATAAAACATTTTTGGCCAGTGTATTTGATTATGTTCCATTTTATTTCAAGTGCGTTAAAGAAATGAAAAGAACTTACGTATAAAATGGGTGAGTGCACATTTATCAAGCGATTACGTGAGTGTATATACAATGATTACAGTCTTACCTTTGCGGTTCCTAAGATATACATATTCTCAGAAACTTCAAGACCAGTATTTCATAAAGCATTTCATTTTTAGCACCTCCCAATATACGATTTTTGATTCAACTGCTTATGCTAATCAACAATGATTCAATTAATAAAGTTTTCTGATTAAAAAAAGTCGAAACAAACTGTTTCAATGGGTAAAGACACAAATTCACGTTCTTCTGTATGAAGTTTATTTTTTAATCAAACAGTATCGGACAATTATATAAAATAAATATTAATGTTCTTGATTACACAATGAAAGTCGTTAGTACGACTTATATGATTCTTTTATTATTATTTATTATTACTTTCGTTTAGCATTGGCCTGTTGCTTCGCTTGCATTTCGGCCTGCTCCAACTGCAACAACTCAATCGCCTTGGATCGTTTCCGGGCAATAGGTACTTTTCCCCACCATTGTCCAAATGATTCTTCTTCCTCCTTATAGATAGGTGTCCTCTTGCAAAGAGCATTCACCAATTCCAAGGAACTCAAAGGATGAATACGGAGTTGAAGCATTCGCTTCACTGTCATTACTTCATTCACTGCGCTTATGATAGACCCTGTAACCAAATTGGAATGTGACTAGCAGGGTTATTACGTAAAAAATATATACCGGGTGTTTCAAATTGGACAGTCATCATTAGAACCTCAGAAATAGTAAGAAGTCGGTTGAATGGTTGCAAACTTACCCATTTAGATGACTAATAAAATGGCACTTGGGCTTCCGAGTATTTCCAGACATAAACGAAAGAAACCTAGTATTCTCAAAATTGTTTTACTCTCTTTTATGGCTTTATTTGAGGTGGGATTTCAAAATAAAGAGTCCGATAACATTGTCACTTTGCTTTCTCTAAAAGATGGTATAATCAGAATTCCACACATGACATTTCGTCTCTTGCCCTCAATCATCAACCTTATTTTTTCTTATAGACTCAACATTGGATTTTTACGTTATTAAGTTTCAAAGATTTTTTCAATCTAATTCCAAAAGCGTATATGTTATTTCGAAAAAACGAATATTGTCATAGCTGGCTTTGAAAATGACGGTTTATCACATGTTTATCCGATTAAATCGCCAATGTTTCAATTTCTGAGAAGCGCGTTTTAAGCATTCAGATAATTTGCTCATTTATCGACTATAAGAAACTTTATTTTAGTACGATGGTGGAGCTCTACAAGACACCTCAGCCGTAGATTAATACTATTTGAATGCAATGTGTGAGTATACAGCGTGTTCATTTAAAAACTTCCCACCACGGATACATCGAAAACAACTGATTAAAAGAAAAAACGTCGAGACACGTCAAGAGGGACAACTTTTTAAACAAAAACTTCTTCACCTCCTTTAACCCTCTACCCCTCAGGGTCATCCCCTTAAAAATTTTAAATAACAAAGGATATCGAGTAATAACCAAACCAAACCAAACCAAACCAAACCAAAGTCTTTCGAAGTCCTTTATTTTCGCGTTTGATATTTTGAAATCGGTCGATTTTTGTTTTCAAGAAAATTGAAAAAATCTTTATCTTATGATGTAGGTGATGTTCAAATTCCTGACGGACATTTTCAAAAACATGTGGGATATCATGGCAGCTTTTGATGATGCGTTGACGAAGTTCATCCAAACTTCCAGGTTGGGGAGAAAACACAATAGATTTCGAATGGTTCCATAGAAAACGTCTAATGGCGTCAAATCAGCAGATCTAGCAGGCCCCTCTTCGAACTATCCATTTATCTGGAAACTCGTCGTCTAGCCATGCGGAACCGGAACAACATAGTGAGGAGGAGCGCCGTCTTGCTGGAAATATATTTCAGCCTCATCAAGTATAGGGTTACCATCCTCTTCGATTTGGTTTTCAATGGTTTCACTGATAAGCGGATTGATGGTATTATCCAACATATCCAAATAAATGTCTCCATTCACATTTCCATTGATAAACAATGTCCCAATCACTTTGTTTCCTAAAATGCCTGTCCATACATTAATTTTTTGGGGGTATTGGGTATGCCCTTTTACAAAAGCATGCTGATTTTCATTGCTCGAATACCTGCAGTTATGCTTATTAACAAATCCATTTAGATAAAATGTGCATACATCACTGAAGCAGATATTCTTTACATGAATGGTATTATCATTAACCGCTGCAGTCATTTGCTCATAAAACTCAACTCGCCTATCGAAATCATCTTCGGTTAACTCTTGCGATATTTTCATTTTGAATGGATGAAATTTATGGAGCTTAGTAACTTCAAGTTGAGCGGCTTCATCAAAAACTCCCCCATGACCACGTTTTTTATTTGCAATACATTCAGTTTTAGTAAATTTAGTAGCAAGGTCCAAAACATACCTATGCGAAATTATCCTCCCCGGATGTCTGGTTGGTTAAAAAGTTGTCCCCCATTATAAATATTTTGACGTATCTCGGCGTTTTTTCTTTTAATCAGTGGTTTGAGATAAATCTGTGGTGAGAAGTTTTCAGATGAACACCCTGTATATTTAGATATGAAGGATATTAATATGGGTTTAGGAATCTGCAATATAGTCGAGGCTTTTTCTCACTTCAAAGTGTTTCAATACTTCCCTTAAATAATATGAAAAAGTTTAAGCACTAGGTTGTTCATTATTCGCTGAGTTAAGACAAACTATAGGAGGATTACTTTTTTATACAGGGTGACTTTGAAGTTGAGTCATTAATTTTCAGATAATGATTGTAGAAGGAAGATAAACCAAAATATGTGTGTAAAAATAAAAAAAAATAAAAAAAAATTTTTACCTTGTTTTATAAACTATCCTCCCGACAAGTATTTCAGTGCGGACCTGTATTTGATCGTGAGGTCCCCTGTGAGGTCTGAAGTCACCTGATTCACGAGCCCGTTGTACTACATTAACAAAGGCACGAGGGGTTGGTTGCACTCGATTGGGAAACCGATCCGCATAAACATGTGCCATTTTTTATTTCGTTTAAGCCACGCAACAGACACTATTCACACGCGACTCACACTGACTGTATGTATAACTGAACTGAATAAAATAAACATCGTTCCAAATTCTTTCGCTTTTTTGTTTCCGATGCGATGAACCGATATGGTGGATTATATCCGTTGTTGCCAAACACGAGTACATGATATTATTGAGACAGGGCGGTACTCAAACTTCCAAAGGGCTATAACTTTGTTACTTTAATTTTACCAGAAAAATGGTAAAGGAAAAAAACATTTCTTTTGATCAGATCTACTCACTGTTAAAATAAATGACTCAACTTCGAAGTCACCCTGTATATTTGAAGTTTTATAATACCAATCCATGTCATGTTATGGACAATACTACCACATCATTAAATAGGGAAATAGGGCCATTTACCTGTTTCCTAGTTCATTAAAGCCGAAATAATGCTTGGCTGATGATATTATGAAACACACGACTATCTGATAATTTCAAGGCCTACTTAGGAAACTCGTTCCTTTTTAATAACTAAGGTTTGTCAATGTATGTCATGTTATACAGTTTCAGATTCAGAATTAAAACTCTATTCAACTGTGCAAAAACCCAATAAAGCCTCTATAAGTGAAAATAAAGTTGATGATTGAGGACAAGAGATAAAACGTCATGTTCAAATTTTAAAAAGATAGAAAAAATAAAAACGATTTTGAGAAAATTCGGTTTCTTTCGTATATCCCCGGAAATATTTGTGACTGCGGAACTTTCTATATGTTATTTTCTTAGTAACCTGAATGCGCAACTTTGCCCTCACTTAATCGACTTCGTATCTCTTATCATTTCCGAGATCCCAATGGTTAGTGACAAATTTGAAACAGCCGGTAAAATGTCAAAAAATCCTTAAAATCTCAACTTGTGCACAAGGTAGTTGTGTGCCGCTTGTTTATTACGCGCCTACTACAGGTGAGCATGGAGTGAATGTTAGCTTGTTGAAACTTTATCGGAAAGCCTACATGTCACTTTTTAAGTTACTTAATACGGGTGAGGGAAGACACTTCTTGAAAACAAGGGAGTAGAATCACCATAGAGATAGTGCCTAGAGAGGCGCTATTAGCATCTTTTTTTGTTATACTGATTTTTTTTTCATCATCTTTTCTATCGGTTCGTGTATATTTAGACACCTACACATCATCATTAGCGCTGTCGTGCCGTGTAGCTCTGGGTAACTTACCTACTGAATATCCATCAGATATTTTGCTAACAACTCCAGTGTCAAATTGCCAGTGAAACGACATACACTGACTGAATAAATGTGATAGAATACTATATCTGGAACTGTAGTTGGGCTTTGGGATCATCAGGAACTTCTGATAAACCTGCTGTAGGAGCTTCTGATCACTTTCCCATGGACAACTAGAAACTCCTATGAAAATTACTCTATCTTCGGGGCTCATATCTAAAAATAAATTATAGTCTGGTACCGAAACGGAAAAGAATGCCAAGACACATCGCACGCCACTCTTAACGCCGTAACGCGGCGTCTTTTTGAATGCGCACGCACCAACTTTCCCATTCAAATACACGCCACGCTAGCACTAGCGTACGATCTGTTTTACTACTTTATCGTTTTTGTACTCAAGTATAGGTTTATCTAAAAATAATGTGGTTTCTAAAATCATTGAATAAATTCTTTGTAAATTTAGAATGTGTGTGATTCAATATGCGAGACAGTTTGGCGTATTGAAGCAAGAAATGCCTGGTCGGTGACAAATTCCTCCAGGCTGCATTTTGCCTTCTGAATTAACCAAAAATTAACTTGTGTTCGGGCTCTAAGGATCTCTTGCTCAGAAGTAATATCTGCAAACTTGGAAGACAAAATTATTTATACAGAAAACGTGATCAAGTTATCTTTTCTACAAATATCCTATTACTTTTAACCATTTTCGGGAGGTCCTTCTTCAGTCTTTTAGGATCCGTCTTATCAGTCTTCGGTATTTTTTTAACGAAAGGCCTTTCAGCATTATCCATATAGATTACTGAAGGCTGGAGCAGTCTGGCCACTTTAGTAACTAAATGCATTAACATAATCAATCCTGACTTTCCAGGATATTTTCCAACTATATTTGCTGGAGTCAGATCAAAAAGCACAGAGCCAGTTTCAGTACAGATTGCATTAACTAACATGTCTTTACCAGAGCCTAGAACAGAAATATTTTTAATTAGGAATTTAATTAATGATTCACCGTACAATGCAGACCAAAGATATTTCATGAAGTTATGCAAATACAGGGTTTCACAACTTTTTCACAAATTTTAACAATATACGCACTATTACGAAACAAGTTGATTGCTAAAAAAGAATGTAATGAAAGTCCTACAGAAATTAAGTTATAAACCTGAGTTTAATAAATATCTATATTTTGCGTTCATCGTCGTGATATTAGAAAACGCATTAATAATTTATTGTAGCGAATGTGGTACCAAACAACTGACGAAAACAAAATACCAGGAATTTTTTATTTTTCCATTCAGATAAGAATGTGTAAATAAGGATTAATCTGTATCGTGGGTGATCTGAATGAAAAACTGTCGATTTTTATGAAGTTAAATAAGAAAGTATTTTGGGAGTTTATGTTTTTAGTTATTTATTAATGAAAATGGCAAATGTGTACACAAATGAGGAGTTAGTGGACATTGCTTCAGCGTACGGAGAAGCAGGGCAAAATTCGCGAGCGGCTTCTCGGTTGTATGCACACCGATTTCCGAATAAGTACATACCACATCACGAAACATTTAGTTCAATTGTTTTACGTGCACGTGCTGGTGGAAATTTGGATATGTAGTGGATGGGGGTTGGGTTCACCTATAACGCGTTTTAAATGCCGAAGGCGAAATTTTGGATATTGTGGAAGAAAATCCGAGTAAAGCACAAGGCAGTTTGCCCAACAGGTCAGAGAAGTGTCACACGCAACAGCGTGGCGCATATTACATGAGGCCTAAATGTACCCTTATCACGTCCACAGAGTCCAGGCGTTGCTACATACAGCCTACCCCCTAAAAATAAGATTTTGTGAGTGGTTGTTGCAAGAAAATGCTCGATGCCCGTTTTACAGCTGATATTTTGGCCACCAATGAAGCTATTTTTACTCGCAATGGGATAACGAATCTTCATAATATACACGTTTGGTCCTTTCGGAATCCTCACGCAGTGGTCCAGACACACTTCCAACATCGATTTTCTTTAACTCTTTGAGCATCAAGGGCACAATTTATGTACCACCCCACAAGTCATCATTTAGCGGCGGTGGTTCAAAATACATACCGCATACGTAAATTCATTTTATTAAAGTTTCAGTGGTCTATTCGCTGAACCACCAATGCAGATGCGTGGTAATGCGTTTCACGCCAATAGTAATAGGTTGGTTGACATTGCTAACTTGCGATTTGGCCGCTAGTCGAATTTTGATTGTTTACAATGTATCGGGCATGAAACTATAGTCTATAAATAGTTAAAGACAAGTGAACAAAAACGCTTTTATTATAAAATAAGCGAAGTTCTGCCTACTGGTAAGTAATTCATTATGAAGTAGGACAGTTTTCCATTTCTTGTACTCGATAATATGTATTTTTTAGTGGTACGTATTTTGTACCACCGCTGCATTAGTAATATTTTTGTTAATTTTTTAGAAACATGTCAGAGCAAAGACTTTTGCCATTTCGCCTTGTTGATTTGCCATTTCGTCTTGTTGATATGAGTGTGGACGAGTTGTATGATGAAATTGAAGACTGTTATGTAGTTGGGGAACCAATACCACCTGATGACGAGTCCGAAGTCGATACATCTGCTCTTGAAATTGAAGACCAGCTTGTGGGACGAGTTGATACGCTAGTCTCGGAATCAGCAGACTCGGAAGACGATATACCTCTGGCTGTTTTAAAAGCGAGTATGGTAGGTAGCGCTCAATTTACTGCACCTGAGGACCCTACTCCCATCTATAAGCCTCCAACTTGGTCTAATACTACGAAACCCAGTCCTCCCAGTGACTTTCTTGGACAATCTGGAGTCCCGGATTTTATTAAGGATCATGACAATCTCAGTCCATTCACTATCTTTAATTTTTTTATCACAGACGAGTTTGTGGATCATTTGGTCTTTCAAACAAATTTGTATGCAGAGCAAATAAAAGCATCAACTGGCAAACAGTATACGCCGACTAATGCAAGTGAAATAAGGGCCTTCCTAGGACTTAATATTCTAATGGGAATAAAACCTTCTCCAAGTTACAAAGTTTATTGGTCGAGTGCGCCAGATCTAAACGATGCCTTTATTTGCTCCATTCTAAGTCTAAAACGATTTAGTTGGCTTCTATCTCATCTCCATATTAATGACAACTCTGTTATGCCAGATCGTTCGTCACCCAAATTTGACAAATTGTATAAATTGCGACCGATGCTTGATTTATTGTCAACAAATTTTGAAAAATGTTTGCTGCCTAGCCAGAGAGTCGCAGTGGATGAATCCATGATTAAGTTTAAGGGAAGGAGCAGTTTAAAGCAATACATGCCCAAAAAACCAATTAAACGCGGATATAAAGTCTGGATGCTTGCTGACAAATCAGGCTATTGCTTAAAATTCGATATTTACACTGGCAAAACGGAGAGTACAGAAAAATGTCTTGGTTCGCGTGTAATCCACTTTCTTACAACAGAATTGGCAAATAAGAGCCATATCGTGTATTTTGATAACTTTTTTAACAACGTACCACTATTAGAACAATTAAAATCAAAAGGAATAAATGCTGTCGGCACAGTTAATATGTTGCGTCGACACCTGCCAACATTTAAATTGGACAAACACATGAATAGGGGCGAATTTCAGTGGTTCACAAGTAACACGGGTTTAGCAGCTATCAAATGGAAAGATAAAAGAGCTGTGCATATACTTTCTAACTACCATGATCCAGAAAAACTTAATGAAGTTGAAAGTAAAGAAAAAAACGGTAATATAGTACAAATCCAGTGTCCGAAGCTATTTTGGACTACAACTGTAACATGAATTCTGTGGACATTTTCGATCAGTTATTGTCAAGCTATAAAATTGACCGCCGTCGCCGAAAATGGTGGCACCGAATTTTTTTTTATTTGATTGATGCTTCCATTGTAAACGCATTTTGCATTTACAAATTATTGAATTTGCCCAAACTATCTGCAAAAGATTTCCGGCGTAAGGTAGTAAATGGCCTTGTAGCTGAAACATTAGTTTCTAAAAAAAGAGGTGCTACTATGTTATCACCACCACTGGAAAGAAAAAAATCAAAACCCTTTGTACCTCCAGAAATTCGACATCAATCTTCTAGTCACCAGCCTGAACGTAGTTCTAGAAAGAGATGTGCATTATGCAGCACTAAGGCTAAACAAATTAGAACAGAGTGGATCTGTTCCATCTGCCAAGTTCCCCTTTGTTTAGGCAAAAATAAATCTTGTTTTCAAACCTTCCATAATTCATAAGAACATTTACCTTGTTTTCTTTTGTGGGTTGGTGGTACATATTTGGTACCACCCTTATTTTTGCAAAAAAGCAAAAAAAAAACGAAAGGATGTCTTTTAATTTAATTTAAGTATGTACTTGACTGAAATGTAAACGATTTAACTTGTTTTTGCAATACATTTTTTTCTGCTCCACCTGGTCTTTTTTTAGCCCAAAATCCTTGCTCCTCAAAGAGTTAAACGTATTGTCGATGAACGTCTAGTTGGACCGTTCATATTGCCAGATCGGATGGATGGTCACCAGTATTTGGAATTTCTTCGGAATGATTTGCCGGTCCTTCTTGATGATGTGCCATTGGCGGTCCGAGCACGGATGTGGTTTCTGCACGATGGTTCACCTCCTTATTTTCGTTTAGAAGTTCGTGATTTTTTGAATCAGTCATACCAGATATGCTGGATCTGAAGGGGTGGTCCAATTGCATGGCCTCCTCGATCTTCCGATCTAAATCCTCTGGACTTCTTTTTATGGGGATAAACGAGGTATATCGCACTCCAGTTCAGAATATTGAAGAATTGCGTGACCGAATCACAGTGGCTGCCGATAATTTGAGCCTTCAGGTACAGCAGGATAGAGGTGTATAATTGAATTAATCTGCCGAAATTGGATTAGACGCGCCCAAGCTTGCATTGGAGTCAATGGAAACAGCTTCTATAAGTAAGTGAACTGTTAAACTGTATTCTTTTATTATCTCGATTTCTGTAGAACTTTTATTACATTTTTTTTTGAGAAATCAACTTATTTTTTAACAGTGCATATGTCATATGTGGTTAAAATTTGTCGGATAAGTTGTATACCTGTATACGAAAACAGTTGCAAAAACCGCTTTTTTCTTCTTATTAATGAAAATGTGGTCTAATGTTACTAATAGTGTATCAGCGATTGATTTCTTACTGCAAAAAGTCTTCCGAATTTCAAATTTATTTTTTACCAGGAAGCGTCTAAGAGTAAATCTGAAATAACAACCGAACGTTAAAGCCTTTATAGTGGCTAACATCCAAAGAAAAAATCGTCAAAACTCAATAACATCTCTCAAGTTTACAATCCCGTTGTAAAATCCGTCTATACAAGTTTTTGTGAAACAGCGTTGATTTCTGACTTAAGTTAATCTGATCTATAGAATCCATTAAGTCAGATGATTGTGGATTTTGATATTGGTTAACATAAACGCGATGGTAAAGTGAAGATTTTATCTACCTTTTGTTCCTGCTATCATCACCGATTTGATATGAGGTGTTGATTGATGCAGATGTGGAGTGAAAAGAGGAATAATGCAGTATTCTTGTAGGATTTGTCTAAAATCTCCTAATCCTATTAGAGGTTCCTTGCCCATATTACACTTTACTGGATAAAAGTAGGACTTCTCACCTAAGTATTGATTCAGGTAGACCTCTGGGTACCTAAAGATTGAAACGTGATTTATCTTATTAAAATTTTGTAAAAGTTGCGATTCTGCAAATATGTTAAAGTCACTGCACATAATTATATAATAAAGTTGTAAAGTTACTTTTTAATGATCCCATTTGCAATAAGTTCCTCAAAAAGAGATTCTGTAGTCCTGTCTGGGGTTAGGTCTTTCTCCTTTTTCTTTTTACTCTTTTTTCCTCCTCTCTTAGCCTTTTTGCTAGATTTTTTTCTTGATTTTATGCCTTTATCTTTATCGTACGCTTCCTGAAATACCACTTGAAATTGGTCATTCAACTTATAGATATTACCTCTTTGTTCTACTTTGGCAAAAACTCAATAAACATAATAGTTACGTTCCGATATCCCATCTACATATTGAGCAGATAAGTTTCGAATTGTAGTCACATATCATAGTGTTATCTCCAAAAAACTTCCATAAGTATCTTTGGAGCAATAGCAAAATGATAACTGATCCATTCAATCTGAGATGAATTCTGGCCTCATACAGCACAAATCGACTCTTGATATATCGGGACGATAAGATGAAGATATAAATGTATGCCAAGAAAGTAGTCAAGGCCGACTGTTACCTGAAGCAGCTCAAGTTCTGCTCTCATCATCTCGTCTACAATCTTCCTTAACTCATTCTCCATTATAGCCATTTGTTCTTGTTCAATAATACTAGTATCAGGCAACTGATTTGGATTTTGAAATTCATTCCTGTTTTTCCAAATTTCATCGTACTCCTCCTTCTTCATGTTCAGTTCTGGTACAAACGTAGAAACTATGGCCTTGGTAGTTTCTTCCTCTTCTTCAGCTGTACTGGACTTGCTTTCTTTCGATTTTGGACTTTTGTCTTTTTTTACCTTTGAATCCTTGGATGAGGTGGATTTGCTCAACTCGCTATCAGTTCCTGAATTTTAGTTCAACTTATAGCTCACAATTGTGTTATGTGTGCAACAAAATTCACGCTAGATTTGAACTAAATATAAATGGATTTGATGGTACACATGGCAAGATTTTGTATGGACTCGCACATGAGGCAAATTGCCTCCTCAGCTTTTCCCGGCAGATCGCACTCTTTTGTTAAAATTTTCCATGATTAATTCACATAAATGGGGCTGGGTGAGGCGTTGGATTTCCTCCATCAATGCGCAAATGCTTGAAGGTTTTTTCTAACTAAATTGAATAATATTGAAGTGGATAACTTGTGGTTTCAATACAAATGAAACACAACACAAACACTACAGGACTACAGGTTACAAGTAATTTGCTGTACGCATAAGTCTTACTTAATTGCGTAACACAACCCAAATAACGACAGTGGTAATTACAATTGAAAGTGATGCGTAGTTTATTGCAATCATAGCTACATATTAACATATTTATGTGGCCTGTATAAAACCATCACCGATAAGAACTTGCCACGGAATATTTTGGGTAGATTTTGTGATTTAGGACCATATTCTTTCAAGACATCATGAATGTGTGTATGTGTATCATGACACTATAATGAATGGAACACATCCTTTCTAGGTGCTTTTTTCGATAAATCATAAACGCATATATTAACCAGAGCGAAGTTATGCTACTCATTACGAATCCACGTCCAGAGATATAAATATGTAGATCATTAACTACAATTGTAGGATACTGTGTAACATAATCCTACAAGTGATGACGTTGTGTTACTAAATACGCCTACAATTGTAAAACTTTTCCCGTAATTACCTTCGGCGCACAGGTAGATAGTATGTGGCTAGGAAGGCTTTATAAGTGTAGAGTGAATCTTTACAATTTAGAATTATACAGCTTATAAAGAGTGGGTTACAGTGCCATATTCTCGTACTCTATATGGTTAATCAAGGTGAAATGTCGATACCAACAAAGCAACAGACTCGTATGAAAAAAAAAAATTAACGCAAAATTTATTAGCGTTACATGTTCGTTTAACAAACGGTTTACTCTAAGAGACTTAAAAAAATACTCAGATCATCAAACACTGCAGAAATGCGTGCTACGTCGATTGACTTACCTTGTCTGCTTAGTAATAACCTGGAAGGACTCCTGTCCTCTCCAGTGTATTCAGGTATTTTTCCAGTTTGAGCCTTGTACTCATTCAACCAGTTTCTCACTTGATCACTTAGCTGTTCCAAAACAACTTCTCTCTGATTCCTCTCCAAATCTTCCCTGCACCTCTTTACTTCCCTGTGGTATTCTTTTTGTCTTTGTTCTTGTAGCTGTCTCCTCCGATCTTTGTTCTCTTTATCTTTCTCCAATTCTTGGCTTTTGGATTTTGGTGGAGGAATCATTCCTATGAATAATTTTCTGATCAATGCTTATACTGTTGTCAACTATTATTAAGTAAATCGCGAATAAGCTGTTTAAATTGATAAGAAAATTTGAAAATGACAACGATGTTTTTATTTTTATCATCAAAAAAATTCTGGCGTGTTCGGGCAAAAATCTCAATTTCTCTCCAAATGTCCAAGGTTTTAGAAGCTTTTGTCCGACGTTGTAAATTTAATTAATGAGAGCCCTACACTGGTGGCCCCGCATCATTGATACAGTTGATACGGCGGTTGCTACGTTCCTGATAAACTTATTGTAAGAGCGCAAACACAGTGGAAGCCGGTTTCCTACTTACCGGCCACTAGCGCTGATCGGCATCTATAAGCTTCTATAATATCATGCTCTTGAGTTGACAATAACACAATAGAGGCAGGCTCAGGCTTGTCGGCACAGGCAGTCGGCGTTACCGGTTTTGCAGGAATGAATATTTACTTCTTTCTCGCCGGTTGTCAGAGCAGGTTGATGTGGATAATGGATAAGGACAAGTTAATCGTATCAGTATACAAACAATGCCCCATACGTGGGATAAAAAAAACAAGACAGTAACGGAAATGTAGTTGACAAATGTTGGAAAGAAATACAGAGCTGTCCAGTGCAATAAATTCATCTTCAGATGAGCTAGACCCCATGTTGATGTGAAGACTACGCTGGAACTGACAAGAGGCCGCTTTTAAATATTTAATTTTTTCTCGTTGGCACTGGACATGGACAGCGCCGAAATTCGGTACCGATCGGCGATGGTTGCCGGTAAGCAGGAAACCGGCTTCCACTGTATTTTTGACCTAAGACCTTGATCGGCGTGGAGTCCGCTTGCAGAGCCGACGCTTAGACAGCCAGTTACGCGATCGTGTGTGTAAGCGCTTGCGGCGCTGTCTAAAAAAGGGTTAGACTGAGATCCAACAATAATCGAGACCTGTGTGGAGGCACCTACTTCCATGGAAAATTAAGTCTTGACCTGGAAAACGCAGGAACATTTCTCGACGCGACGATAGGGGGATAAATACCCGACTAGATGGCGAAAACAGCTAGTCCAGTCGAAACGGTCAGACAACGCGAAATGTCTTATCAAGCCAGCATGCTTACAAATTGTCATAAATTAGAATAAGTGTTACAAATTAGCGTAAAAGTAATAAAATGGACTTTGGACTGTAAAAGCGATGTTTTCGTTACCTTATATTTCTGAATGTCCTCATGGGGAATAACCTAGGAGAAATTAGGTCATCTTTGACATTCCCAACGGTCAAAGATTCTGTTAACTGAAATTTGCTGAATGACGGAATGAACCTGGTGTATTTGAATGAGTGCACTAATCTATTGCGCGAAAGATTTTGAACACTATTTGATGGATAAGAAGCCTATATTCGGAACGAATTCCAAAATCATCAAAGGACAAAACCATCTTAGAATAGACCAAAGAATTGCTGTTTCATTTTTCGTCACGTTTTTACCATTTCACTCTCATAATATCTGGAACCTTCTCGGACTACTCGTGAATACTCTCTCATATCTCATACCTATTAAAAGCATCTCCTCTAATTTTCTTCTCCTGGTTGCTCTTCTAGCCATAAACCCTCTCCAGATTTTCTGTATTTTCATGGCAGCTGCCATGCTAATACCTCCAAGTTTCCCCTCATCTTCAGTATCTTCTCCTGGGATCGGCTTACTTTTCACTTTCATCATTTTGATCTCCTTCATAAACTGAGCCCTGAGTCGGCCTTGTCTGGCTCTTTCATGCTGTTGAATGATCAGAATGGCTTGTTGTTCTGTCATCACTTTCTTTGGTTCTTTTTTCTCTAGAAAACCTAGTTTGGATAAGACGCTGTCGATTGTTTGTCTTCGGTATTCTATCTCAGTTTTTCTGTAAAGCGGATAAAATCCCAAGTGAAAAGCAAAATGTTATTTATGAAGCATAACTCCCGTACTTCTATACATTTTGATAAAATATTCAAGCATGTGTGTTTTCCGAGATTCGGAGGTCGAGAGTGAACGTGTTTATTTCGTCTATATTCGCTTCATGTTCCTGTAGAAAAACTAGCGGATTATTTGAGGTGCTGATTATACCAGCCCTTTCTGCAGTGCTGCAGGTAAAATCCGTGTTTGTTTAACACGTTGACTGCGGGACTAATAATCCGTACTTTGGCATTGACAGCGGTACATATCGCCGGGGTATAGTCTTTACTGCTGTGCGTTACATATCCCCGAAGATATGTAGTAAAATATACTTAAGCGCCATCTTTGTAAGATATGTTGCAAAATTTCACCATATTGATGTAGAAATATTTTATAGGATAGATGAATCCATCTTGGAGTCACGTCGTACATATCTCCGGGGACTAGAACCGCATGCTGATGAGTACAAATTTTCAACAATAAAAGTCGTTACATTGAAATTTTTATTGAAAATAAAACATTTTTCTAAACAAAATTATAAACAAAAGTATTTGACTTGTGTTTGGTATATTGAAACTTTTTTCTTGAGTATAATAAGAAAGAAAATAATGAACTAAGATATTTTAGTTGTGTGTTTCATTGAAACATTGAAGGCAATATCTCGGCTTCTTTGGGCATTCTTCACAATAGCTTATTATACGTCGGACTTTTTTGTCAGCCTCGCGACTCGTCATAGTCATTCGCAATTTTTTGTAACATCCAGTACAAGGTCTTCTCTTCTTTCTTCCTGGACCTTCACGTTGTGTGTTGCCTCTTTCTCGATGGAACTGGCTGCTTTGAGACTTCCGCTTGTTCTATTACTAGATATTTAGCTAGTTGTGTTCTAAATTCCATAATGCTCAGCTTTGTGTCAGAAACCATGTTATAAACAATCCACGAATTCACCACAGTCGTGCCCAGTAGTAATTCAAACATAACTTTGCTGCAAAAAAATGAAAATACTTATACATTAAATGTTATATATATTTATATATGAAAGGACTTACCGATACCATTTTAGTGTTTTACGTACAACATAAGAGGACATTTGGTCACTGAAGTCGACACCCTTTTTCGCCAAATTATAATCAATTACACACTGTGGTTTCAATATATCTTCCTATAAAAATTATCTTTTGTGAATCTTTATTTTGAAAATAATTGTATTGTCCTTACCTGTAGGTACTAGTGTAGCATTATGAGCAGGATGTGTCGTGATCATAAAAACAGGTCTTTTGTCTACCCATTTAATAATTTTTATCTTTCTTTTCTCTTTGCCAATAACTTCACCCTTCTTGTTTTTCTTTGTGAATTCTTTGGGGAACTCCTTTTCGGTTTGATCTTAGTGTGCCACAATACATTTTTGATCAAGTAATGTTTTAACCAACGGTATTCCGGAATAAAAATTATCAGCATATAATATTCGTCCTTCTTTTGGATTCACATCTTCCAGCAATTTCAATACAATAGATTGTGCATGTCCCAGCACATGTTGTGTATCGCCTTTACCAGTGTAAACCTTTAGGTTGTAAGTGTACCCAGAACTTGAAAGCTCATAAAGTTTGACCCCATATCTATGTGTTTTATTCGGTATATACTGCCGGAAACTCAACCGTCCTCTAAATGGAACCATGGATTAGTCTATGACAAGGACTCGTCCTGGACACAAAGTTTGTTGATAAGTTTTTAATAAGAGGATCTATTTTGTACAGTCTATTTGTAGTATCGGCGGATTCGTTGTCAGAAAAATGGAGAAACCTTAGTAGCCTGAGAAACCTGTCTCTTGTGAAAATCGATCAAACACATTTTGTGAAATAGGGGCTCTTTCGACCAATATAAATTTATAGCAGGTACCTGCGTTAAGCCGATTCTAATAGCAACACCCAAAAATTTACGCATCTCGTTCGTCTTCGTGTTAGTCCAGGATTTAATTCTAGATTTACCTGTGTGACGTTTGGTAACTTGTTGACTTGCATAACGATTTGTTTCCAGTACTAGCACGTCAATGACTTCGTCTGTTATGAACCGCTCAAAAATGTCACTGGGCCTTTCAATTGTTTGTTGGTTAATATCTGGGTCAAGTGTACATTGTTCATTGTGAAGATCAAAATTTATAGATGAAGTTTTTATATCTTCCCATACATCCCTCAGATCACTGTCATTATCTTGTTCATTATTCAGATAGTCTGCCCTGCTTGAAGGCCTACATCGTTATTGGCTTCGCTATCTAAAGCATTCGAAGAAAATTCATTTTCATCACTACTTTCACCACTACTCTCATCATTCGAATAACATTGATAAGTTTTGTCTTTCACAGAGTCATCACTATCAAAGTTTTCCCATTCTAAGTCAGAATCACTACGGCCATCATTCATTTGTTTAAAAGTACGCGTAACACCTGAGGGACCAAGAGAACTATAATCATTTTGAGCGGAAAGGTCATTATTAGTTAAAAACGTAGAGTCCCGGGAACTCTCTAATTCCAAAGCATTACTTTCTTTAAATTTTCGTGCCTCTAATTCAAGCAGTTTTTCTGAGCGCGACATCATTGTCGGTGGCTTACGGTCAACTAAATATGCTTATTTACGAAATACACGTTCAAGAAGTATGCAAGTTAAAAATCGTTAATACACGACCCCGGGGATATGTTTCGCACAGAAGTTAATCTCGTATTAATTGTGTGCGAAACATATCCCCCGGAATATGTAAGAAAATTTACACTTTATATGAAACTAGGTGTCATAAGGATCAGAAAGCTATCTATAACATTGAAATCATTAGAAAAATAACGTTTTCGCGACTAACGCGCTTGCATCGTATTTTGATTTAAGTCACTCCCGTCTCCTAGGAAAAATTCTCACATATCGCCGGGGGCATGTAACGCAGTCAACGTGTTAAAGTAATTTCGTAATACGTAGCCTCAGTAATGCTGCACGTTTGAGATGGAGAATTGCATTTATTGTAACACTACTGTGTCTCGTATAAAACCTGCTATTTTTTTCGAGGCATGTTAGAAAAATGCTCATGCCACCTATTACCAATTCCATTGATATTCTAAGTGTCTTAAAAAATGTCCCTGGTCTATCATGGAAATATGATGAATGTAGAGGCAACTGCCTGTTTATTAACGAAAAGAGCGTCAATACAGTGCTGTCGAAAAAAATTGATGCTTCACTTGGGCAGATCAAAAATGAAATGAACCATGCTGCCAAGCAGACTAGCCCTCCAGCTGATCCTCCTCGTTATTCTGATGTAATGCGCAACAGAACTCAACCAGCCATTTTTATTCGTCGAAAAATACTAATCAATCAGTAACACAAGCCAAGACGTACATTCTAAAATCAGTTGATCCTGTTGAAGCCAACATTAATCTGAGTAAAGTTCGTGATATCAAGGAAGGTGGAATAGTGCTTGGCGGATAACTTAAAACTGCTTTCCATTGGCAAAATAGAAGTTGTTGGCATTAATCCTAGGGTACGAATAGTTGGATTGACTGGCGAATACTCCGATGAGCAGATACGTAGCTACTTTCTGAAGGGTAATCCGGACGTGCTTTGTGGTGATGTTGAGTGTAAAGTTTTGAAAACATAAGCTGTTAAAAAAAATAATAAAATCTTCCAATCTGTCTTAGAAATAGAGAGAGTTTCCCATGTTAGGGTCATGAAGGCAGGGTACTTATTAGTCGGTTATGATTGCTGTAAGATTTTTAATGCCGTGGAGGTATTTCGTTGCTTTAAATGCAATGAGTTCCATCACGACTCAGCTTCTTGTCAGCATGAGGTTTCTTGTCCAATCTGCATTGGAAAACATGAGATTAAACAGTGTACATCAACAACTAAGCAGTGTTCTAATTGTGTCAGATTAAATTCTAAGGCGAATCTGAATGTTCCAATAAATCATGCAGCTTGGGACAAAAATCAGTGCACTGAATTCATGAATGCTACAGATAAACTGAGAAAAGACTTACTCGCTGTCAAATAGCAACTAGCTACTGCTACAAGCTTAGACAGTCATGATCATGATGCTGATAGAGATAAAGACTTTATTATTTATTATCAAAACACTCGTGGTTTGCGTTCTAACACTAATGAAATATTCAACTCTATTTCTCAACAACACTATCACTCTTTGATAACACTGACAGAAACGTGGCTTGATACTGATATCAATGATTGCGAGGTTTTTCCGGATAATTATTCAGTTTACAGATCTGATCGTAAGTTTTCAGCAGTGAATTTGAGGAAAGGTGGAGGAGTGGCTGTTGCTGTTAGGAGTGAATATAAGTCATCTGCCATCGATATATATGTATGTGTACCCACCTTGCAACCAGGTCAGTCCAAAGATAGATATTTTAGTAATTAAAGTCAGTGCTGCAGTAAAGTCATATGCTGATTATCTTGAAAATAGTATCTCAAACAGTTACATAAACACTTTAAATGTTTTAGCAAGATTTTTCAATGTCATTCAGTATAATTACATACACAATGAAGATGGAAATTTGCTAGATTTAATTTGGAGCAATGCCATTTGCTATGTTGAACATGCTGATGATGCGTTAGGTGTGCGGATCCCCATCATCCTGCATTGATTGTCACTGTGAGTCATTTTCCTTGCACCAAACATAATAACGTGTTGCATAGCGACTTTAAAGGATCATATAATTTTAGGAAAGCTGACTTTAGTTTTAGAAGTTAGAATATCTTATAATAAAAGGTACCCTCCTTCGTACAACAGCCATATCATTGGAACCCTCAAACAAATAATGGTGGCATTCAAGACTTTCAGATGCACTGGTGATACTTATTATACAGGGTTATCCAAATTAAGTGTCCACCATTAGTAACTTTGTTATTAGTGAAAATACAAAGTTGTTTGAATTAGCAAACTAGTAGCATTTTTAACGCTGGTAAAAATGAGAAATAAAAAAAAACAATTGAGAGTCGTTATTTTCATTTTTTTCAGTAAAATAACATTTTTTTAAATGGAAACCCCTGTATATTATATTTTTTTTGTTAAAGCATCAAATTTTAAACAAAAAAGCTTACAATAACTTTTCTCCTAGGTTACAAATTGTTGAAGTTATGGCCTCCAATCTGAAACAATTAAATTGTATCGACAAACTTTATTTTCAACTTATAATCTTACAAAATACAATAACATTTTTTTTTAAAGAGGATGCTCGAAAACACCACCTTGTTCTTCAATACATTTTTGGGCACGTTTTTCAACTGCTCGAACTGTCTTAAGTATGGTCCTACCATCTATCTGGGTTATCTTTTCCCTAACTGCAGTCTTTAACGCGTCAAGGTTATCGTACCTTCGCTTGTAAATTTGGTTCTTTAAGTAACCCCACAAGAAGTAATCAAGTGGGTTTAGATCTGGTGATCTGGGAGGCCACTGTATTGGGCCATTTGTTCCTATCCACTGATCATTAAAAGTAGTACTTAGAAAATGATAAGTACCTCTGGAGTTGTGGGCAGGTGCGCCATCTTGCTGAAAATGCAGATGATGTCTACTTATAAGATCCAATTCGTCTAAGAAATTAGTCAGAATTTCTGACATAAATTCCACATATCTTTCACCAGTTAGGGTTCCCTCATAAAAGAACGGGCCAACAATTTTTGAACCAATTATACCGCACCAAACGTTGAAACTGAAACGGACTTGTGGGCCTCTTGGATGTACTAACAAAAGATTTTCTCTTGACCAATAATGGTGGTTTTTTCTATTAAACATTCCAGAATTTGAAAAATTTGATTCATCTGTCCATAAAAGGTAACGAAAGTTATTTACATTTTGGCGATAGAAGCTAAGATACCAATGGCAAAAAACAAGTCTTCTCTCTGGATCCCCTGCCAAAAGCGTTTGAACTGGTCGGTACTTATACGGAATAAATTTGTATTTTTTTAAAATCCTTTGAACAGTACCATAACTGAAATTAGAGTCCTTGAGAATATCTGCTATTGAATTCTCACGATAAGCTTCAAAATATCCAATAACTGCAATTTCCGTGGCCTCGCTTATTATGAATTCTTTTTTTGCCCTTGTTTTAGCAAAAACATTTTCGTTGCCCCTAAATTTTCGATAAAGTTTCAGAAAATATCGTTCATACGGTTGAATGCGAGCGGGATATAATTCACTGTAGTATTCTCTTGCTCTCAAGGAGGATTTTCTGCACACTAAATAGCATTCTAACATATCACACTTTTCTTCATGGGAGAACATTTTTCTTTAAATTAATGACACAATAAAGCTTATAAACAAGTATTTACACTAATGTTTGACATTATTTGATTTTATCATTGTTTTCCAAAGCCTTCTAGTTGCGAGTATGTCCAGTTTAACAATTTGTCGCTTATCTTAATGCTGTCAAATCGCGAACGCCATGTTGTTTTCATAGCCGTCTTAATATTATAATACTGCAAATAATTAAAAATATTTATCGTTATTTTGACTTTATTTTTGACTTTAGCGGAAAAGTCATCATGAACTTTTTTGTTTAAAATTTGATGCTTTAACAGAAAAAAATATAATATACAGGGGTTTCCATTTAAAAAAATGTTATTTTACTGAAAAAAATCAAAATAACGACTCTCAATTGTTTTTTTTTATTTCTCATTTTTACCAGCGTTAAAAATGCTACTAGTTTGCTAATTCAAACAACTTTGTATTTTCACTAATAACAAAGTTACTAATGGTGGACACTTAATTTGGATAACCCTGTATAGAAAAATTTATAAGACTTCGCTCAGAGATAAAGCAACATGTAGCTGTTTCATATCGTCGCTACATTCACTCTTTAGAGTATGAAATATCCAACAGCTCCGGCAAATTCTGGTCTTTTGTTAATAGAAAAAGAAACTGCACTGGTATTCCGAAGGATATGCTGCTCATACACCTAATGAAGGAGTTGGCGGATTTGCGGAACACTTTGGTGGGAGCTATAATACTCCAACAGCTCAATCTGATTTTTCTACTGATTACCATTTCACTACTACACTAGGTATGCCTAGTGTACAGGAAATCGATGTGCTACAGGCGCTCAAGAAAATTAAGCCAAAAATGACTGCAGGGCCTAATCAAATACCTGCATTTTTTGTGAGAGATTGTGCGTCCATTTTAGCATATCCACTCATGATCATTTTCAATCTCTCTCTGAAAAAATCACTTTCCATGTATTTGGAAGTTGTCTAGGGTAACTCCCGTTTTTAAAAAAGGTGAGAGGAATTATGTTTACTTAGCCAGGCCTAGGGCTGACATACTTAAGTTTTCCCCTATCTATACAATGTGCCGTAATTATAATTCAGTTAATAGTGTTTTAGATATATTTTCGTTTTGTGCGACTTTGGGAGACATTAATGCTTATTTTCGTTAATGCTTGCCGGTGTAATTGTTGAGTGCTGGGTACGTAAAGCTACAACGCTGTTTTTCCTCGCAGTTCTATTTTAAGGTTTTTTTGCAGCGTTTTATCTTTCTCTACATAAATCCACTACATGCATTTGCTTATATTTTCATGTTTATCCATCCTGTAATTGGCTATGGCTGTTGGATTTTGCTAAATAAATAAAAAAAATAAAATAAATTACAAAATCATTGGTCTTATTTAAAAACAAAATCCTGAAGTATCTATTGGGACGGATATCCATCGTTTTTTACCTTTCCCGTCTGAAACAGGTGGGCACTTCCAGTTCTACATCGAGTGGTGTCAGATTCAACTTTTCCATGACATCTCCAATATGGGTCCATTCATTCAGATCAGCTTCCACTAAATCTGTTTTTAGTTCCAATATCCTTCCTAAAGAAGCCTCCAAAAGTTTCTTAACTAGCATTCTTTTTTGGGGCTGCACCATTTGGTCCACAACCCTGATTACAATTGAGTGGAATAAGATTTTATATTTCCTATATGTTTAAGGTAAATCAAAAAACTAGGACAATATTTCTGGAGCAGAAATTACGTCTCGAAAAAGGATACAAAGATCGTTTCCAAGGTTTGTTTTTGTATGCTTTAGGTCAGAACATAGTCAAAAAGATTCGCATCCAAAAATGTTAATTTCTTAGCAGGGCTCATTTATGGGTCACATATGAAAATAATTATACTCAAACAACACTTGTGTGTAGAAGATTTTCAATTTATATGTATGGGAAACAGAATATGCATAATATGAATGCGTCCCGAGTACAGAATCATTCGGGAAACCCTTTTATTATAACATCCCCAGCTGAAGACAATTTTACTGAAATTATCTGCTTCTGAAGACAGTAGCAAGTCCGACAGTCTTAGTTGTCTTATAGAATACCTAAGATAATTTAATCACTTTTAATTTCTAAAAGCTTCTTTCAGCCATTGAATTTGTAATCTGGATGGTCAGAAATAGGAAGCATGATACACGTCGGGTCGGGGCCCCTATAAGTTGGGGGCTCCGTGTCATTGATACGGCTGATATGGAAGTTGCTACGCCACAATCCATAGTCGAGGACTGTAGGAAATAATTTTAGTATAAATATGCCCGCATGTTCCGGAATATCCTGAATATGCACAAAGTTACCTGGTTAGTCGATTTGCGATGAGAATATATCTCACATAAAGCGTCGCTAGTATGTCCCTATCGTCCCTTCTGTCTGCCTGAACCGGCTCCAATTGGAGAGTTTCTGTTAGGAGATCATGGACTTTCCGAAATTCCAAATCGTACGTTACGTGAGACATTTTCAAAGTATCTTATTTGTACAAATGTAAATATTTGCTTGCAGTTTTTGCTTACGGTGGCCAATTAACTCAATGAGTAAAGTTGCCTTGACAACCAAACATTCGCGCTAAATCAATATCACTAAGGGAAGAGGGTGCCCTACATCGTTCCCATTGATATCGAAGTTAATATATGTTCATAATAAAGGTGTGGTATTTTTTGTTCCAGTGAATGAAATGCACGATTTTTCAACAGTCACCGAAGGAAAATATTTTCTTTTTTTGCTTATATCAATCAATATCTTATTTCAGAATTACGTTTTACTTGTACTTGAGTGAATAATAGTAATAATAATAATAATCATAATAATAATAATGTTTATTCACGTAACATACAAATATAACTAAAACTAACATAGGTATACGTAAATAAACTGAATTACCTACAGAAGAATAAATTCTTGTTCGTGGGTATTAACTTACTTTTTTACACAAATATACACATACATATATATATATATATATATATTCATATAAATAAACACATAAATAGATGCACATATACATATATACATACACACATACACACCTGTACATACATATACTAAGTGACATATAAATCCGAACACCCAGTTTAAATGGTTTTATTTTAATAAAATTTTGTATAAGTACTTAATGAAGCATAATAAGTAAATGATAAAAATTTCAAAATGATTGCACTGCTTCAAAGCCCTTTGACCTTTAATAATGTGTGGATGCACCCTGATGTGCTACGCATTCTCCAACGCGCCTAGGCATGCTTCTGATCAGGTGGTCAATGTCCTCCTGTGGTATCTCATTCCAGGCAACCACCAACTCCTCTCGAAGTGATTCTAGAGTCTGAGGAGGACGTTGCAAATTGAGCAATCTCCTACCCATCATATCCCACACGTGCTCAATTGGAGATAAGTCGGGAGATCTTGGTGGCCATTGTAACAATGTGACATCATTATGTTGAAAGAAGTCTATTGTGACTCAACATGTGGTCGGGCATTATCTTGATGGAAAGTTGGATCTGCCAGGGTGTCAAGATAGGGTAAAAGATGGGGTTCTAGAACTTCGTGGATATAACGCTGCGCGTTCATGTTACCTCTGATGAAGATTAAAGGTGACCTGGAACCATAAGCTATAGCACCCCAAACCATAACTCCAACAGTGTGATGAACATGTCTTTCAACAAAAAACTGTGGATTCCTCCTTTCACCACGTCGCCTTCTAACCCTGGCACGACCATCGTGCATGCCTAAACAAAATCGAGACTCGTCACTAAAGACAATACTGTTCCATTCCTGATCCCAGAGTGACCGTTGTCTGCACCACTCAAGGCGATTACATCGGTGTTCTCGAGTTAAAGGGAGGACCCAGTGTGGCCGGTATGAAAACAAGCTAAAACTTCTCATTCGTCGGTAAACACTTCGCATGCCAATAGGTCTTCCGTGTTCTGCAAACCATTCATTTTCAATGGACCTGGTAGTGGAGAAACGGTCCCTTAAGGCCAATAATCTTAGGCGGCGAACTTCGCGGTCTGTTGTTCTACGGCGGCGTCCAGTGCCCCTTGCTCTTTGCGTACGGCCTTCTCGAAGCCATGCCTGACAACACCTAACCACAGTGTCTACACTTCTTTGCACTCTAACTGCAATTGCCCGAAAAGAAAGTCCAGCTTCCCGAAGTCCCACTATACGGCCCCTATCAAACTCACTAAGTTGACGAAATCGTACAGGTCTCCGTACTCTAGGCATCGTAACCGATCGTAAAGGATGTCAAGAACCAAAATCCGCCAACGTTGATTCTTTACTGCGGCTGAAATATTCATTTTTAGAGCGTTAGTGAATTAAAAAAAAGCAGTATAAAAACCGGAATGTCCAACTGATAAGGCTGAAAATTTTTTCACTTGTTATTTACAGTAAGATAAATACATTCACCAACTTTTATTAAAATAAAACCATTTAAACTGGGTGTTCGGATTTATATGTCACTTAGTATACATATACTCGTGTACATACACACATATACGAGTATATGAACGTTAGAGGGTTTTATTATCACATTAATTTTAAGTTTCTTTAATACGTATCATGTTTGCAATTTGATGTGGATTTTTTTCAATTATGAATTTTTTGGTTTTAATTTTGAGTTTTGTTTCTTATCTAATTTGGTAATATGTTATATAATCTACTGGAAAGGTAAGTATGACTTTTTGAGGTGAAAGGTGTTTGCTTAATGTTGTTGATTTTGTTTCTAGTTTGATACAAGTGATCTAACGGATTAAGATTATTTCTATGGTGAAATTGATAATTTATAATTGATTATTCATCGTTGTTGTCATATAACATCAGCAACTACAACTTAAATCGTGTTTATATACGAGGAGGTGCCCAAAAATAACCGGAATAGCATTGCAGTGGGTGGAGCTTGTGCAGTACACATTTCTGCCCCTAGAGGCGTACAGAGCAACTCATTACCAGTTCAGTACCACCTGAGTTGTCGATCTGGATTGTTTCGTTTCTCTGTACTCATTATTTTTGCTGTTTCGGGCTTGTTTCGTTTTTTACAATAGCAAGCTTCAGTGAGCAACGTGCAGCTGTGAAATGTCACTTTCTAATTGGTAAAAATGCTGCTGAAACTGTTTTTATGTTGAAAATAACTTACAAAGATGATGCTATGGGAAAAACTCAGGTGTACGCTCTGGACGTCCATCAACTGCCCGAATGGACGAAAATGTTGAAAAAATCCGAGAGCTTGTGCTATTTGGAGGTGTTAAGACGATTGCGAAACAGTGTTCGGCAAAAAGGCAGAATTTGTGGCAGTCAGGAGACTGGTACTTCCACGACGATGATACACCTGCGCACACAGCCATCTCTGTTCGACAGTTTCTGGCTAAAAATGGCATGGTTCCGCTGCCTCACGCACGTTATTCGTCTGACCTGGATCCGTGCGAATTTTTCTTATTACCACGGATGAAAAGGGGCAGAAAGGACACCGCTTTGACTACATTGAAGAGGTCAGTATAAAAAACGAGGGAGGAGCTGTCAGAAATTTCTAAGGAAGACTTCAAAAAATACTTTGTGAAAAAGTTGAAAATAAATAGCTTTTAAAAAATAGTTCCGGTTTTTTTGGCACCCCCTCATATAAATGTGAATTTCTATGCAGTCTGTCTTGTCTAAATCACACCACGGAAGTTTTTACACATACCCTAGGAAAGCTATTGGCGTGGTTTTCTCCGAGAACTCATCTTTGATTTCGCAATCAGCTTTTGCGGCAAGTACCAAAATCTCCTCCGTCAGCTTCAAACCAGCATCAGCGTTTCCTGCCATCGCTCCACTCAACCTATGACCGACAAGCGATGCAAACGTTTTATTTTGCACTAGCTGTTAGCTGCCACCTCTAACGCTTAAAACTGTTGCCAGCATAACACTGTGTAAAGCTATAAACATTCGAGCATGTCTTGGTTCTTTGATGGCATAAGTTGATTGATAGCCAACTTCAACTCACGTCAAGCTCAAGTCAAGTATTAGATATTAGAAAGCTACTATGAAGTCATGTAGTCCTTACGTCTGTCTGTCAAGTATTTGACAATTCAAGTAGTCTTGATATTTCTGGATAATTTTTGTAACGTGATAAATTAAATAAAAAAGTTTTGCTTGTTATACGACATGTAAAATTAGTCGAGGCGTTTTTAATTTAAATTTGTTTTTATCTCTACAAAAAACCTTTTTATAGTCAACGCCAAACAAAGTGGCGTGCACGTCATCAAGGTGGGTGTGTTGAAAAATTTACATTGTTGCCAAACTTTTTGTAAAATAATAAAATTTATTATTTACATATCTAGGTTTATAAGCAATATTAACCTCAAATGAGAACAAAAATAATAGTATAATAAAATTATAGATCTGTACTTGCATAATCATTAAGTATGACAATTATTGATCAGATGACACTATGAAACTACCGTATTTAATTGATAGCTTAAAGGTACTGAATAAAAATCCAAATGGGGTCCTCCAAATTTTATGCATGGTATTTATTTTACAGAATTCATACAGAAAAATGCATTCTAAAATTAGGTAAGCTACTGGTGTAAGCTTTTTCTGTACAATAAAGTTAGTCGGAGTTTCTTTCTTCAGCGCTGTCTGAATCTGAATCTTCATCACTCTCAAAGTTGATTATTAAAGGTTCGATGTCTGGTCGATCAAAAATTCGTTCTCTTTCATACCATTTAAAAATTTCTTGCTCAGTATGTCGAACACTATTTTTCCACATGTCTGGGGTAACCGTTTGTAGAGCCTCGTTCCACATATCCAAACAGTCTTTTTCACTGTTACCATCTCTACCAATATGTCTGTTATAGTAACCTTTTGCTATGCCCCAAATTAACTCAATAGGGTTAAATATACAATGGTAAGGAGGCAGACGAAGAACTTTGTGCCCATGTTGTTCCGCCAATTCATCAATCACGTATATTTTAGGTGGTTTGTTTCTAAAAAAGCAGTTATTTTAAGAATAGGAATAAACAAAAGAAATATAAACTGTCGACCAAAATATATATAATTAAGAAGCATTATGTACCGAGCAACAATACTCAATAGCTCTGTTTTAAACATTGTGTTTAAAAATGGTATGTTTTGATTTGTCAACCAGTCTTGGATATTTTTTTTTTGTCCATGCATTGTTGGGCACTTTGTTCAATATCATGCTGTGATAAGGGGCGTTATCCAGTATAATCATAGATGGACTCTCCAATTTTTCTAATAACTGATGTTGAAACCATTTCAAAAAATTGTCCTGGTTCATCTCTCCATGGTAATCGCTCAATTTTGTTTTCGAAGAAAATATCGCTTCACTACCCTCAATAAACCCATTTTCATTTCCAGCATGTAATATAATGTATCTAAAATATATTAGTTTTAAATTGTGTAAAAGTACATACCTTTTACCATCTGTTTTAATAGCTTTCACGCTTTTTTGGTTTCCATTTTGCCAAGAGCGACCT